TCAGCCACACAGCAACCTCTCTGCCCTGATGTTCTGTCCAGCATGTCTGCATCAGCATTCGTTCATCCAGCCTCTGACCAGTCGGTGCCGCAGGTTAGGGACTGGACCAGACTCTGGTGACACTGGAACTCCCTCGGCACAAACACTGGCCGCACGGTATGACAAAACGTGATAACGCTGCAACCCCAGAGTAATCCGGGATGAGAGGAAACGGGATCCCTCACCCCTTTCAGCTCCTAGAACTTTCTCTCTTGCTCTCTCCAGCCACTTTCCCCCTTGCACCTGCCTTAGAGCTCTGCGCTGCCCCTTGCTCTGCCTGGAATGCTTTCCTCAGAGTGGGTTGGCCCCTCCCTCCTCTCCTTCTCCTTATGCAAACATCAACTTCTCAGGAAAGCCCACTCCAAGTCTCCTTGCTAAAAAGGCAACGCATTTCCCCCATGCACTTGTTTGCCTTGCTTGACTGTGTAATTTTCTCTTGTCCTCATCTATGTCATTTATTTATTAATGCTGTTTGTACCTCTCTTCTCCTATTTGATGTAAGCTCCATGAAGACAGTGCTCCTCATTTTGCTCATTGATAGATTCCCAAGTGCCCAGAACAGCTCAGCATGGGGTAGGCTTTCAGTAAGTATTTACTGAACCAAGGAATGAATGGTTGAAACCATTCATGGCCAGTGTTTGAGGTTGGCCTTGAAGAAGAGCCGAGATTGCAATCAACAGAAGGTTGAGGAGTGTTCTCTGCAGAGGGAAGCACATAAGCAAAGATACTGATGGGGGCGAGATGTGACCCAGCCTTCTCCCCAGGGGCCGGGCCAGGGATGGAGCTGACACCCAGGAGTGGGCCTTGTGCCTAGAGCTTCTGCTGACAGCAGTGAATCCTTAAGGGTTGGGGATTTGGGATCCAAAGGGATCGCTCAGTTTCTGTGCCTTTACCTCAGAGATAGGATCAAGACAATCAAGGAGAGGGATTCTGTGTCTGCTGCTCAGTGTGAGGTCAATCCCAGCCCCAGTGCAACCTCTTTGCCTTTGTAACTTCTCTCGCTCCCTGAAATAGGTAGGAGGAACTGGGCAGAGGCAGGTAGCCTAGGCGGGGGAAGAGATCCACAGGGCACATAGCCCCGCAGGAGGGAGCACTCCGCACCTGGAAGAGGCCAGCCCAGGGATCCCAGCCATTGTCACGATTCTTCTTCCCAGCAGAAGCCAAGTCATGTTTGTCAAACAGGCACTGGTGAGTTCAAGGGGCATTGCGAAGGACATGGTTTGTCAACGTGAGGGAAAGGTGGGGGTTCTAGGAACCTCCCTGCCCACCACCATGAACTCAAGTAGGAGAGGTGAGAGGAGATGGTCCTGAGGGTGAGGACATGTGGGTAGGGTAGCTCTGTTCAGGCATGAGGGGGAGTTTATGTCCTCAAGTGGAGTGCCTAGAGGTCCACGCGGGGCCAGCCATCTGAGAATGAAAGTGCCACAAGGACAGCATTTCCTGAAGTCAATAGGGGGTGGCACTTCAAGATGATCAACCTGAATTTGTCACTTGGTTAAATAAAGGTAGCTAAGATTGCATCCATAACATTCCCAGGGCAAACCTCTGGCACTAAATGTGGGTGTGGCTGCCTGTCCCCTCCTGGGCAGCCCAGAAGGTGCCATGCTGTCCCCTGAAGGCTTGTGGCAATGACTCATGGGTTTGGGCCTTCTCCTAGCTCTTGCCCCTGTCCTCCCTTCCTCCACACCCACACATCCTTCCAGAACTAAACTCCCCTCAGCAACCTCCCTTGGCTCTTGTATAAGGGGTTTCCATTCCCCCTCTGCCTACACCGTGAGGCTCTTAGGAAGAGGAGCACGTCTTCTTCCATTCACTGAGTCTCTACTAAGCCCCAGGGCCAGTGGTGCTACAGAGGGTGGCAAGCAATTGCAGTGCTCTCCCTGACCTGGGGGAACCTTGGGATCTTTAGAGAGCCTAACTCGTGTGAAGGTCCATGCAGACACACTAGAGATCCCAAAGCAGCATGCATCACCACCGCACCTTCAGAAAAGACGGGGCCCAGTAACTCCTCAAGAAGTGCA